CACGGGAGGCGACATCGCCTCTCCTCCATTCATTTTCAATGAGACATGCGTGACAAAGCAATAATTACGGGTCTTCCTCCTACTAAGCGAAATGCGAAAAAAGTGCATGTGAAATTTTGCGCTTGTGCACGTGCGACGTGATCCCAGAAAGTTGAAATATTTTCAACTTTTCATCGCTGTCGCTCGGACGAGGACCAATCAACAGAGGTTTCATTCACTGACCAATGAGCGGACAGGATGCTCCGTACATCTCAGAGCAAACATGGAGGAGAAGTTGATACTTGCTGTGACGGATTTCCCAGAACTGTGCAATATTCCTACCAAAGAATATAACTTATTGTATGTATGTTTCATTCTCTGGTTTGTAATATGGGATGAACCCATTCTCTGTGTTTTTTATATATAGTAAAATCAGAAGTAAGATTTCACATAACTCTAGCAGCATCTTGTGAAACATCATATCTACCACTTTTTAAACTCTGAACCGCTTAAATAACCTTAATTCCCTCCAACTTGACACAGCCAAACAAAACAACGGAAGATTCGATTTCGCCATGGAACAAAACGTGTAGACGGCTTTGCCGCTACCGTGGGTCGCCTCCCGTGTATCGAGCCCATAACTCCTGTGCTACCGTCGCCCAGGGTACATTTTTAAAGGATAAATTAACCAAATGACAGAAAAAGAAGGGACAACTCAGGTGTTTTCCCCTTTTTCTTCTTTTTTATTGCATTGCATCACCACCTCATGTCAGAACATAACTTGGTATTGGAAGATCATCAGATAACTTTTTTAACTTTGAGCACCCGCCCCTTCAAAGGTCTCTGCACGGCCCTGCTGACTTGTAGCTGCATTCAGGCATGAAGCAAATCCCAACTGTCACACCGCTGCATTTGGCTTGTTGTGTCCTTCTGCTTCATTTGATAAATGATAAAGTTGCAATGTAAAAATAAACAATTTTATTTAACCAATGATTTCTACATTTACTGTAATTATTAAACACATGCAAATTACATTACTAACAAGGTTGTATCATTCATGGACTACAATAACCACAATTACATACCAGTGTGTCAGAGACCACAAACATCTGGCTAAACGTACCAGCTTCAGGTGGTGTGGATGTTTCATCAGAAGCTCCAGCAGCTGTTAGGGTGCATCTAGACCAGGGGTGTCAAATATGCGGCCCGCGAGATGGTTGTGTAAACTTTATTTTCATACTTTACAGTGTAGAGTGAAAATAAACGTATCATTGTGAGCAAGTTTTCTCTGTAATGAGTATAAATTAAACAGAGCTGCGCTCAAGACTCACACAAGAACTTGACTCACATCCTGAAGTTGGCCGCCACTCAGGATGTGACTTCTGATATTGATGTGCTGGTGAAAGCTAAAAGATGTAAAGTAAAATGAGTCAAATATACTTTAAGTGCTGCATGAAACTGATCTAGACATGTGATCTGTAAGCTCTCTGAATCACTAAGGAATGTATTTTCTATTTATTGATTTTATTTTTTTTTTTATCAAATTTTCAAGTACACTTCAGGTGTTGTACTTGTACTATTTTGGATACACTGTCCTCAGGCTCCAGCGTTGTTTTATATTAAAACAAAGAAAACAATATGAAGTTGTTTTTAATTTACCGGTCCGGCCCACTTGGGACTAGATTTCCCTCAATGCAGCTCCTGAGCTAAAATAAGTTTGACACCCCTGGTCTAGACACATACAGATATACATGTTACTGTGTATATATATATATATATATATATATATATATATATATATATATATATATATATAGGAGCAAATAGGTGAATCAAACTTCTTCTATAGAGCACGTTTGAAGGCAAGAGTCACAAAGGGCTGTACGTGAACAAGCAAACAAAAATCAATAAAAGCAGAACAAAGAATCAATAGAAAGCCTTTTTTAAAAGATAGATTTCAATTGGCTTTTTAAAATGTTTATGAGGACTGATTTGGGTTTTTAGTGACCTCAGACATTTACATACTTTTATTTTTGCAACAATAATATAACAATAACAATCACTGTGAATGTTTGCAAAATGCATTTTCTACTATGAGCTTTAAAAAGCCACTCTGATCAGATAAATATAATAAACAGATTTGTTAAAACAATTATCAGAAACTTATTAAGGATCTTCATATAATTATTAGGAGTTACTATGAAACACCAAATTCTCAGAACACAAAACATGAAAACATCTTAAAATGATCCTAAATATCATCGTATCTCAGCTTTAGTGCTGCACAAACATTACAATATTAGGAAATTAGCTTAGTTTGTCCTAAAGCATCCCTGGGATGTTTACTACTGATGTCATGATAGCATCATCATTAGCTGAATCATCAAAAATGACCGTTCTCCCCAACTAGCAGGTAAAGGCTAATTAGAGGGGGGTTCAACATTTACTGTTCAATAACTTCCGATCAGAATGTCATTTTGAAACAACATACGTCGTTGACATCGCGGCAAGGTAATGAACAACAACCTCTTTTTTATTTTTTACAACCTGTCATCTTCGCCTGTTACCTTATGAAAGTGCCGCGAGCGTTCAGGGACCGTCTGCAAATGTAAAAGAAAAATGGAGGGAAATTTCAGAATATACAAAAAAAAACGGTTTTCAGCTAATTTTGCGCCCTGTCCAGCAGAATGGTGTTATTTCAATTGGGCATTCTTTGGTTCGGTTTGGGTGTCGGTGGGTTTTCTGTTAAGTGATTACTTTTTTTCTATAATAATAATAAATCGCGTTATTGTGTGTGTGTGTGTGTGTGTGTGTGTGTTTTACTGTTTAAATGACCTGATTTTTACAGTCAAACTTAGTTTTTCATGGTGATTCTCGTGAGCAGAACCAGGGGTCTGTGCTGGTTTAAACATCGGGTTTGTTGGAAGTGAAGCAGGTGGTTTTGGGATCGTTTGGACCGGATTTTATGTGTAAACTCGGGAGTCCCGGAGCTCCAGACCGGGAGGCCGAGCTGCGCATGTGCTGCCCCCGCCCCCGGTGCCTGATCTCCCTCCGCCGTCCTGCTGCTGGAGGCTCACCGGAGGGAGGTTCAACATGGACGCCAAGCGGGGTTAGTGTGCTCTAATCTGATCTTCGCTCTCTTGTTATTTTCTCGTTCCCATTACCGGGGTTCATGCGTTTTTGTGTGCCGTTAGTGTCTGTGGAAGAACCGGTAGTTCGGCTGCGTCTGGTCGGGGATGGATGCAGGCGGACCGGACCGTTTGACGGTTTTGATGCTCGGTCCGCGTCACGAGCTGGAGGTTCACGGTGTGTGGTGATGGGGGTGTCAGGCAGCCCCCCGGTGTGTAATAAACGCGTCAAGAGGGGAGCTTTCACCGGACCGGGCCAGACCTACAGCCGGTTTCTGCTCGCTGCGGTTCGGGCTCTATTTTTAGCATGTGCCGCTGCTGCTAGCACGCCTGCTACCAAAATTAGGCAGACGGCCACATTTGGACCCACCCCCCATCCCAGCTGACGGGTCAGAAGCTAACACGGTTAGCTTGCTCACCCAGGCTCAGAAACACGGGTCCTGCTGAATTTAGCCGAACGATTGTGTTAGTGGTCGGGTTCCGAGGCACCGAAGCGCCAGCAGCGTTTGAACGGTTTGTAATGAAATTGGGACTGATCTGAAGTCGGTGCCTAGCTCCATGGGTGTCCCAGTGATGAACAGCAGTTGGTCTCGGATCAGCTTTCACTCAGCACCTCAAAATAAAGAGATCATTTTAAACCAAACTAACACAAATATGTCAGAATAAAGGAGGTTATCAGGTGATTTCATCTGAATTACAACTAAAATATTAAACTGGGAGAAAATGAAATAGAATCACAAATTAATAGAGCTGTAGCAAGAAATTTAAAGGACTCATGAGCAAACACAAGTTTATTAGTTTAGGTTGAATGTGGATATCTTCGGTTCTAGAATGGGCTCAAGTCCAGTTTGTAAAAGCTCAGCAGTGTGTTTGTTTTCAGGTTAAAATAACCAAACACAGTTTTAAAACAGCAACTGCAGCTTTTACAGCCGCTTTACCTTTTATCCCACCAGGTTTAAAACCCAGACTATAAAGGAACAATAAACGAGTCAGCTGCACAGGTAGCGTTTGAACTAGCTTTAGCTGACTTCCCAGTATTTGTGCACAATTTAACGGTTTTTGGGTCTTTTCTTCAGGCATTTGTGTTTTAAGAGCTGCTGATTAGAGCTTTTCAGTGGTTGTGTCAGAGACGTGGTCAGAAGGACTCCTTCCTTTCTGATGTCATCATCTGACCTGCCTGGAATCCCTGGTGAAATCTGAGCATGCTCAGTGCAGCTCAGCTGTTCCTCAGGAGGACAAGACCACCCCCCACCCAATTTGTCTTTAAGTCTCCATTGGAGCATGAAAATGGCTGCAGCTTATAGAAGTTTGCATCATTTTGACATTAAAATGTGGCCAAAACAAAGCGATCCCTGCAGAAGAGCGTTAGTCGTAACCCTCGAGCTGCAGGGACCAGTTATCTTTGTGGTATTTGTGTTTGAACCAGAACCAAACCAGTCACATTGCGACCAAGTTGTAGTGTTAACTCATCATAGCTTCAGGGAGAAAACTCCTGCAGGGGGTTTTAAACTGGAAAAGAATCGAGTCAATCCAGGCACACACACCCACGCGCGCACACACACACCCTGCAGAAGGAAACAAACTTGACTTTCACTTGCAGAAAGATGCATGAAAGAACCAGGAAGTGTGACAGGTTGGGTCTGACACCAGATTCTCCTTGACGAGGCGTAGAGTCATGACCTCTCATCGTCAGGCTGATCGGATCTCAGATGGGTTCTGATCAGCTTTCATGTGCTTGTTGACATAATGTGATTTGGGAAAACTGAGCTGGTTTTATTTGATCAGACTTATCTGAATTAAAACGAGTTTCCCATATTTCCTATTCTGACTTCAGAGAAGAAGGCCGCTGTTTCTGTGCTCCTTTACTGATGACTGGGTTGTATTTCTTGGTAGTGGTGGATCTCCTGTACTGGCGTGATGTGAAGACGACAGGTGTGGTGTTCGGCGCCACCTTGCTGCTGCTGCTCTCCCTGACAGTGTGCAGCATCGTGAGTGTCTGCTCCTACATCGGCCTGGCTCTGCTCTCCGTCACCATCTGCTTCAGGATATACAAAGGCATCCTGCAGGCCATCCAGAAGTCCGACGAGGGGCACCCCTTCAAGTGAGTCTGCGTGTGATCTGTAGCAATCATCCTTCTGTCCGTTTTCTGTTCAAAATAAAACAATGAAAAAGCGACCAAACATAGTCTCAAACCGTAAAAACTGAACAGCTTTTGTTTTTCATTAAGAAATGAACTCAAAACGTTCCTCACCTAGAGGTCTTCTGTGTAGACCTTCAGGTCAGGGGCTCTTCCCTTCTCGTACGACCTGAGCCAGTTTGATTCGTTGTTGGGTGGACTGAGTCGTGCTCTGACAGTGGGGGGGGGGGGGGGGGGGGTACAGTCGCGGACCGTTTGACCATGAGAGTGAGGAAGGGGGTAATAATGCGGAACGTTTCGGTGCTGTGCACGGGCTGTGGGTGTGAGTGGGCGTGGCCAGCTGCAGTATTACAACGCTGGGCCAGACCTTCAGACAGGTGCTACTGTTGCCAGGCAACTGCACTGTCACCAGTTCCATCTGTGCTTTACCCGAGCAAACCTTTAGTTTTACCTGCTGGTATCGTTCCGTTGGTTCTTTAACTCGTTATTCTGGCTGCTGAACAGAACCTGACGAGTCACTGCGCATCAGAGGCTAGTTAACTCTGATTAACACAAACACTCAGACTTTTAGTCACTTGTTCACTCATAGGATCTATCACCCATAGCCAGGCTCTCAAGCAGCTTAGGTACAGGTTTCTGGGCATTTGGACCTGACCTGGTGGTAGATGTGAATCTCAACCCACCTCAGAATGCACCTATGTGTGTTCCTCAGCACCACTACCAGCTTTGCATGAACCCTGTTCTCCTGCCCCCCCAGGCAGTACCTGGACCAGGAAGTGGCCCTGTCCAAGGATGTGGTCCATAAGTACAGCGACGTGGCTCTGGAGAAACTCAACAAGACTATCGGTGAACTCAGACACCTGTTTCTGGTGGAGGACCTGGTTGACTCCATCAAGGTGAGAAGACTCTGACCTGCTGCTGGTTCTGTTCTCCTCATAGAGTCACTGCCGTGTGATCCAGACCCCCAGAGGCCTGGTCCTGACCCTGTCCTGTATCAGTTCTGTAGGAGATGGTGGACAAAAGCTGTGGAACATGTTGGTTCTGCTCACGTCCATCTCAGTCTCTGCAGAGACAAAAGATCTTTAAACTTTGGCTGATCTGGAAAAGAATTGTGTCAATCCTGCTGCCACAAACGGCTGTTTTAATAGTCGACTAATCGTGTCATTCATAAAGGTTTAGCATATTGCACCAGGATGCTCTAATCAGCTTTGCTATCTAATAATAAAGACAAGATGATAGCTTATCAAACAACTTTAACTTTGTAACCTGTTAATACAAATGCTACAGTCGTCGTGACGAGTCGACTAATCATAGCAGCCCTAGTACACACACACACACACACACACACACACACCCTGTGTGTTTTCTCTTTAGCTGTTAAACATGCAGGTGGTGATTGGTCACCACTAGTGGTGGTGGGTAGATGAGGCCTCGTGAAGCGTCTCAGCACATTACTCAAACTGTATCAGTACTGTGCCGCCATGTTGGTCTACTGACACCTGCTGGATTATAAACATGCTGGTGGTGGTCGGAGGAACCGGCGGCGCCAGAGCTCGGCAGCCTCGCCTCTGTCTGTGCGCCCCAGGGCAGATGTGGTTACATCGTAGCTCATCCCCACCAGCGTGTGAATGGGTGAATGACTGATTGTGTTGTAAAGCGCCTTGGGGGGCTCCGGGACTCTAGAAGGCGCTATATCAAATACAGGCCATTTATCATTTACCATAAACATGAGCAAACCTAACTGCGAGGCTCTCCCGACATCAAGTCCCGGGGGGCTGTTTGTCTGATTTGGGCCGGTTCATACCCCCCACTGCTCTGACGGCCACATTCCCACGCGTTTCTCTATAACGTCTGAGCATTGACGACTTTCTTTCATTAATGTAAGTTCAGTTTAACAAATGTGACGTTTAACTTGCATAAAATAGTATGAGAGATTTAAAAAGAATAATTTCAAAACGACTTTCTGATGCATCAAGCAGAAACTGAGCAGAACAGGATGAAACAAGGAATAAAAACAAATAACTTATTTGCCGATATGAACAAAATGGTCCATCATGGATCACCTTGGATTTTCTTGTTGGCTCCTTGATGTAACAGTGAAATAAGTGTGATTCAAAAGTACTTGTGGCAGGAGCCCATCCCGCTGACGGCGGGTGACGCTCCTGCATGTAAACACAGCTCGACGCTTCACTGACGAGCGACACAGCAGCTGTAGCAGTCATGTGACTACTTTCTAAACGATACGCACACCGACACGGGTGTCGCCCAATGAGCCAGATAAATGTGTGTCAGTGTTGCTGGGCCCATCACTAATCACCACATAAAACATGATAAATGTCTTAGCCATAGCAGTTTGCTAATCCAGTCCCTTCCTCTCCTGCAGTTCGCCGTGTTGATGTGGATTCTGACCTACGTTGGCGCCCTGTTCAATGGCCTCACTCTTCTTATCCTGGGTGAGGAGCGTTTCCCACAATCCACTGCAGCCATGATGATCTGTCATTGCTTTGCTGACCAGATTAACATGTTCTGGTCTTTTGACTCCACCTTGTGGTGGTGTGAGAAACAACACCTGGCCTAATTGACTGTTTTTCCTTCTCCAGGTCTGGTCGCTGCCTTCAGCTGTCCCATCATCTACGAGAAACACCAGGTAGGAGCCGTTTACCCACAATGCCTCTGTGAATGTGTTGTGGTCGGACGCTCATGAGTCTTTTCTGCGTTTCAGACTCAGATCGACCATTACTTGGCTCTGGTCAACAACCAGATCAAAGACATCGTAGGGAAGTGAGTGAGCTTGGTTCGGAGTCCTGAGGTGCACCCGTGCCTCAGAAGAACGGTGTCGCCAGTCATTTATAAACACCTTTCCTGTTTTCTTCCAGGGTCCAGGCCAAGGTTCCCGGCTTGAAGCGCAAAACTGAGTGAAGGAAATAAAAGTTTGGATCCAGGAAGTCCTGTTGAGGTTGTGGGGGGGTCTGATATGAAGGAGGGCTGGGGGGGGGGGGGGGGGGGGGGGGGGGGGGGGGGTCAGAATAATAAACTTTTTTTCCAGTTCAGAATTCCCTTTTGTTTTTATTTTCAGGAAAACTTCAGTCGACTCGGCACCGCACGCCTCCTTTTTTATTTAGTTAGTTGTTTATGCAAGTTTAAGCCCCGCCTCTTTTCACTTGGGTCATTGTGGGAGGTCAGGAGCTCCTCCAGCTGGGTGGGCCTGTTGGATTCTTTTGTGATGGACAGGAGCAGAGAGGCTTTAGTTTCTCATGAAGATGAGCACGGCGACTCATCGCTCAGTGTGAGGTTTTTGCCTGAATATTTCCACTCTCAAATCTGTTTTTGTGATTCTTTAGTCGGTTTTTGTTTCTCAGTAACATGACAAACGACGTCTCTGACTCCAGATGAGGCGGCGGGGAGGGGAGGTTGTACTAAAGTCTTCATTGCTTCTGAGTAACTGTAGGTAGAAACATCTAGAAACCCCTTTGGCATCATTAACCACATAAAACTCATCACGCCATCACCGCTGTCTCGTAGAAACTGCAACGTTTACAGAAACTTATTTAAAAAACAAATGGGATTTAGGATCAACGTGTCTGTGGAGCAGAGTTCTTCATAAAGTTGCTACTTGATGTGACTTTGAGAAACTTTCAAGCATCTGTTTGTTATGCAAGTATAATTGTGAATGATAAACTTCTTCATACTTCAATTGTGACGATTAAAAAGCTCCCAGCTGGGAGTCGTGTTTGTGGAATGCATTGTGAGATGTAAACAGTTATCAATAAAGCTTCTAGATGAAGACAAGTGGCCTCTTCTGTCTGATCAGTCGGGTGCAGTCATCAATCACGTGTTCACCTCATAGTGCAGGATTAACATCATAGCTGCAAACATTTAACTCAGTTTTTGACCACGAGAAAGTGGGATGATCCAAACCCTAGAACAGCAGAAGTGATTCTTTCACATCCTAAAACCAAACACTGACAGAAACAGTTTTTTATTCAGGTTTGGAGAGTCTGGAGGCAGTAGAGACCCACATGGCAGCACAAAGTTCCAAAATATTCAACGATGATTTGTCCTGAAGACCTACAAAACATTAGAAATCTTAGTTATTATTTGGTGGTAACACCGGTGACCGCCACTTGCATTTATAAAACGGTCTCCATCAGGTTGTTGATGTGGGTCAACTCTTAAATAAGTTTAAATGGAAAGTTCATTTCAGCATCTGGTGGTAGAATGGGGAAACTGCAGTACTGAAGGTCACAATTGTCACAATTGGCCTATAAAAGGCACTTGTGATCGACGGGAATCTGACATGTTTATGTGTATTTATTTAGCAGACGCTTTTATCCAAAGCGACTTCAAATTTATAACCTATAGGGCATGTTGTGATCTGTGGGGGAAACCAGAGTACCCACGCATGCATAGGGAGAACACGCAACTCCACGCAGAAAGGCCGCAGCCGAGTTTCAAACCTGCAACCTTCTTGCTGCGAGGTAACAGTGCTAACAACTGCGCCACCATGTAGCCCATTGTAGTGTGGCTGATCTGATGTTACGGGAGGATTTGGCAGAGCCTGCACTCCAGAGGGAACACGTCCTCTGTGAGCGCACTGATCTGATTCCTGAAGAAGATCCTTCTGGAGTTATGCTGTGCAATAGCAGAACAAGTCAAATCCAGGCTGGGGGAGGAGCAAATGACCGGGCCCTTTAAACCCCAAAACAATAGATCATGATTTTGGCAGTGGCGGCCGTGTAGGCAGACCTTCTGTACCAGTTTACTGACCTAATATGTTACAATGATGGCGGACTGGCCAGCTGTGAATTCTGGAGAAGAACGGCTGAAGCCTGAAGCTCTGGCAGAGATAATGAAAGATAAACAGTAACTTTCTTTCCCAAGGTTCCTCACAGAGCTCCTCTCCTTGCTCACAGAAGAAAATAAGAGAGAAGATTTTTAAAATTAAATATGAACTTCTAAAAATTGCAAGCTAGAAAATCATTAAATAAACTTTTCTTATTGCTACTTATAGTAATTATAAAACTATGAAATGAAATACATTATATTTACACATAAGTTCCAGACACCGTCCTTTTGTTCGCATCCACTCACAGTAAATAGTAGTTTAAACAATTTGTCAAATCTTAATTGTTTGTAAAATAAATTCTTATTTTTATAAACCTGACTGTTTCTTGAATCAAAGCGAAGTGGGTACAATTCTTTAATGAATAAAAGAATCCTAGAATCTTCTGACCAAAACAAATAAAGACCAGGCAAGGTGATATTCCTCCTTGAACCGTCACCTTATCGTGGTGGAGGAGTTTGAGTGCCCTAATGATCCTAGGAGCTATGTTGTCTGGGGCACTTAGTGCCCCTGGTAGGGTCTCCCATGACAAATTGGTCTTAGGTGAAGGGTGAGACAAAGAACGGTTTGAAGGATCTTTCATGGCGGTTAAAATGAAGAGTCGGAGTACCCGGCCTGGAGGGTTACCGGGGTCCCACCCTGGAGCCAGGCCTGGGGTTGGGGCCCGTGAGCGAGCGCCTGGTGGCCGGGCTTTCGCCCATGGGGCCCGGCCGGGCCCAGCCCGAACCGGATACATGGGCTCGTCCAACTGTGGACCCACCACCCGCAGGAGGAACATGAAGGGTCCGGTGCAATGCGAATCGGGTGGCAGACCAAGGCGGGAGCCTTGGCGGTCCAATCCCCGGACAAGAAAACTAGTTTTTGGGACATGGAACGTCACCTCGCTGGCGGGGAAGGAGCCGGAGCTTGTGGCAGAGGTTGAGCGGTACCGGCTAGATATAGTCGGACTCACCTCGACACATTGCATTGGCTCTGGAACCCGAGAGCAGTGGGGGACATTGAGTCCGAGTGGGCCTTGTTCCACTCTGCGATTGTCGAGGCGGCTGTTGCTAGCTGTGGCCGTAAGGTGGCCGGTGCCAGTCGTGGTGGCAACCCCCGTACCCGCTGGTGGACACCAGAGGTTCGGGGAGCCGTCAGGCTGAAGAAGGAGGCCTACAGGGCGTGGCTGGTCTGTGGGTCTCCGGAGGCAGCAGACAGGTACCGGATAGCCAAGCGGGGTGCAGCAGTGGCAGTTGCCGAGGCAAAATCTCGGGCGTGGGAGGAGTTTGGTGAGGCCATGGAGAAAGACTATCGATCGGCTCCAAAGAGGTTCTGGCAAACTGTCCGGCGCCTCAGGAGAGGAAGGCAGCAACTCGCTCACACTGTTTACAGTGGGGATGGGGAGCTGCTGACGTCAACTGAGGCTATAGTCGGACGGTGGAAGGAATACTTTGAGGAGCTCCTCAATCCCACCAATGCGCATTCCGAGGAGGAACCAGAGCTGGGAGGCCTGGGGATGGACTGTCCGATCTCGGGGGCAGAAGTTGCTGAGGTAGTCAAACAACTACACAGCGGCGGAGCCCCGGGGGCGGATGAGGTTCGTCCTGGGTATCTCAAGGCTATGGATGTTGTAGGGCTGTCATGGTTGACACGTCTCTACAACATTGCGTTCTCATCGGGGGCAGTTCCTAGGGAGTGGCAGACCGGGGTGGTGGTCCCCATCTTTAAGAAGGGTGACCTGAGGGTGTGTTCCAACTATAGGGGGATCACACTCCTCAGCCTCCCTGGAAAGGTCTACTCCAAGGTACTGGAGAGGAGGGTCCGATCGATAGTTGAATCTCAGATAGAGGAGGAGCAATGTGGTTTTCGTCCTGGCCGTGGAACTGTGGACCAGCTCTATACCCTTGCAAGGGTGATGGAGGGGGCATGGGAGTTTGCCCAACCAATCCACATGTGTTTTGTGGATTTGGAGAAGGCTTATGACCGTGTCCCCAGGGGCACCCTGTGGGGGACGCTCCAGGAGTATGGGGTGGGTGGCTTTCTGTTAAGGGCCATTCAGTCCCTTTACCAGAGGAGCGTGAGTTTGGTCCGCATAGCCGGTAGTAAGTCGGACCTGTTCCCAGTGAGGGTTGGACTCCGCCAGGGCTGCCCTTTGTCACCGGTTCTGTTCATCACTTTTATGGACAGAATTTCTAGACGCAGCCGTGGTGTGGAGTGTGTCGAGTTTGGTGGCAGGAGAATCTCGTCTCTGCTTTTTGCGGATGATGTGGTCCTCCTAGCTTCATCCAGCTCTGACCTTCAGCTCTTGCTGGGTAGGTTCGCGGCCGAATGTGAAGCGGCTGGGATGAGGATCAGCACCTCCAAATCTGAGACCATGGTTCTCGACCGGAAAAGGGTGGCTTGCCACCTCCGGGTCGGGGGAGAGGTCCTACCTCAAGTGGAGGAGTTTAAGTATCTCGGGGTCTTGTTCACGAGTGAGGGTAGGAGGGATCGGGAGATCGACAGGCGGATTGGTTCGGCGTCTGCAGTGATGCGGACGCTGAGCCGATCTGTCGTGGGGAAGAGGGAGCTGAGCCAGAAAGCCAGGCTCTCGATTTACCGGTCGATCTACGTCCCAATCCTCACCTATGGTCATGAGCTTTGGGTAATGACCGAAAGAACGAGATCGCGGATACAAGCGGCCGAAATGAGTTTCCTCCGTAGGGTGGCCGGGCTCAGCCTTAGAGATAGGGTGAGGAGCTCGGACATTCGGGAGGGACTCGGAGTAGAACCGCTGCTCCTCCGGATCGAAAGGAGCCAGTTGAGGTGGTTTGGGCATCTGGTCAGGATGCCTCCTGGACGCCTCCCCGGGGAGGTGTTTCGGGCATGTCCTGCCGGCAGAAGGCCCCCGGGTCGACCCAGGACACGTTGGAGAGGTTACATCTCCAATCTGGTCCGGGAACGCCTTGGGGTCCTGCCGGAGGAGCTGGTGGACAAGGCCGGGGAGAGGACGGCCTGGAGCTCCCTAGTTGGGATGCTGCCCCCGCGACCCGGACCCGGATAAGCGGAGGAAGACGAGACGAGACGAGACGAGATAACAGCTTATTGGTCTCAAGTGGTGTTAATAATATAAATAGCTCTTAAAGCAATTTACATAATCCAATATACATACTGAGATACGGTAAGTATCCAGTTTATCTAAACACTACAGTGGGGAAATTCACTTGTTACAGCAGCACCAACCCCTAAGGGAATAATCTGAAGAAAAATAATAACAAAGGTATACACACGTAGGCAGTAGTCTCGAACTGTAACCTTCAGCCACTAAAAGCCACAAAAAAAAAAGGAAAGTGAGGAGTAGTGTTTCTCTTGATATCAATCACCATTTCTTTTGTCTTACTGGTGTTCAAGCAAAGGTGGTTACGCTCACACCAGTTGACAAAGTCCATGATGACTGACCTGTACTCCTGGTCATTCCCCTTAGACACACAACTAACAATGGCCGAGTCATCCGAGAACCTCTGGAGGTGACAGCTGCTGGTGTTGTAGGTAAAGTCCGAGGTGTAGAAGGTGAAGAGAATGGGTGAGTCAGTACTGCACACAACCACCTCAGACGTACAGTTGTGCAGTCTCACGTACTGTGGCCGGTTGGTTAGGTAGTTGATGGTGCATACAGTCAGATGTTTGTCCACTCCTGCACCCCTCATCTGCTGCAGTAGACATGGCTGGATGGTGTTGAAGGCACTTGAGAAGTCAAAGAACATGATTCTCTCAGTGCTTTTTTGCATCTCGAAGTGAGTCAGAGCCCAGTGCTGCAGGTAGATGAGCTCATCCTCCACCCCCATGTTTGGTTTATATGCAAATTGCAGTGGGTCTATTTCCGGGCTCACCACTACATGAGACCTCTCCATAGTCTTCATCAGATGGGAGGTCAAGGCGACAGGTCTGTAGTGGTCTGGTTCCCTGGGATGTGATGTTTTGGGAACTGGAACCACACAGGATGGGGACCTGCTCCAGCTGAAGGCTTAGGTTGAACATATGCGTGACCACTTCACAAGGCTGGTCAGCACAGTCTTTGAGCAGTCTGGGGCTGATCCCGGCAGGATCCGCTGCTTTTCTCCCCTTAAGCCGCCTCAAGTTTCTCTTCACCTGGGGTCTCATTTATCAAACATTGCTTAGAATCCTTATTAAAATGATCAGTCAGGTCACAGTGACAGGACACACACTGTCACAGACGCATGACATTCTGTCTCAACCTGTCCCCCTGCTGATATTCAGCATTCCGTATTCTGTGCTTCAGGCTGTGTGTGTCTAATTATTCATAATTTCAAGCATTTAATTACACTTAAACAGAAGCATTACAAAAAAAAAATTCACCCTCCTCAGAGTTGTCATGAATGTAAACTTTTAAACTTAGTATTGTTATATTTTTTTAACCAGGCTGTAAACAAGTTTATTTCTGCTGTGAAGTTGGTATTTTTAACATAGGAGTCAATGAGGATTTGCTTGCTTCTGGTGCCAGCCCCTAGTGGATGAAGGTGGAACTGCAAATTTAGCCACTTCTGTGTTGTGAGTAGTTCTGGGTGTTCTGGGTTCCAGCTTGGTGTTTACCATCAACATATTTACTGGACATTCAATGTCTACAGGCTCGAATTATAAATCTTTGTTTGCAAATGGGAGGTTCCCACCACCACCATTTTGACCGTGTCACATGTCCCGCCACGCCCAGACAATCCAAAAATGGGATAAGAGGTGGAGCAGAGGGCGGGACTTACGGTTGGAACAAATGAACCAATGTAGCTACTAGCTAACTTAGCTAACTCAAGAAGGGCTCCAGGGACTGGGTAGCCCACCCCCAGGGCAGACATGGCTCCTGTGCGAGGCTGTAGTCATGCTGGTCTCCTGTGGAAATCTAATATGGAAAGGGGCTGTTAAATTACAAGTAGAGCCTCAGACTGCTGCGATTGAAGCTGGGTGCTGTGACCGTTTACATCAGCTTATGCTCCACGGTCGAACAGTGCTAACATGTTTTTAGCAAGAAAATCGTGGTAGAGCGACTCTGAAGTGAAGGCACCTCTAGCCTGCTTAGTAACAAAATCATAACTAGGTAAGCTGACTGAGGATATCAGGCTTTGCCGGTCCACCGTGGTAAAAGATCAGCGAATCCACCATTGTTGAAAGTCCCGGTCCTAGGTCTTGGTGTCGACTCAGCTCTTGGCTCCATGTCGAAACAGAGTGAAGTGAAGCTGCGCAACAAAAAGAGCTGCACTGTTTCTGTGGTCTCTCTCAAAGATCCACAAGTGACCAGCATGACTACAGCCTCGCGTCCACCTGTCCCTATTGCCCAGGAAAACGGGAACAGCCAGCCGCCTGCTTTAACATCTGTTTCCAGGCACGAGACAGGAGAAGCTGGGCAGCCGCTCAAGGTTCTTATGCAGCCCCACTAACATCAGGGCTGCCACCATTTGAACATTTGAAAGAGTGAGACGGGGTCATGGGGTTGGGAGCGGACAATTCGCTGACCATTTAGAGCAGGGGGGTGGGTGTTATTAATATTGAGACTTTTTGTGCTCTACATTTTATTTATATTTTATGTTTACTCTGTACAGAAGAGGATTAGAGCCACTGACAAGAAAAAAAAAGAAAGGGAATTCTTACTTTTTTTCTCAAAATTATGATTTTTTTTCTCTGAATTCTGGCTTTTAATCTCAGAATTCTGACAGGAAATTCTGGGAAAAAAGTCAGAATTCTGTTTCTTTTCTTTTCTTTTTTTCTTTTCCAGTGACCCTAATCCTCTTCCTTACCTCCGACTTTACAGAGGGAACTGACCTTTGTTTAATAAAAATGTTTTTTTGTGAGGAAATTTTTACATCTAACTCTCCTGAACTTCTTCACACTATCTATCTATCTATCTATCTATCTATCTATCTATCTATCTATCTATCTATCTATCTATCTATCTATCTATCTATCTATCTATCTATCTATCTATCTATCTATCTATCTATCTATCTATCTATCTATCTATCTATCTATCATAAAGAGTTACAGCTACGTGGCACAAATGTCACACAAGAACTTTTAATTATAATTAACGTAAATTATTTAAATTCCATCTAGGGGTGGGCAATATCATGTCATTCATAATATTACCAGTTATTATTCCTGCCAAGAAAAACAATCTATCATGTTAAGCTAACTTCATGATGTAGTTGCATCCACTAAACAGGATTATGTTCATGTGGGTCATCAGCATGAAGTTATTGAAGTTATCAAAGCAAACATGACAGGAATCAGTTTTACTGTAATCTGTTTCTCTAGGTGTGTGTGTGCTGCTGTGATGAGTGGATGTCCCCACTGTGGGATAAGTAAAATTTACTCTCTTCTATTATATTAATTTATATCAGCCAGTAGGGAAAAAAACATTTGAGGAATTTTGGCCTTTCCATGCTTCCGTACAAGTAACCTTGTTATGGAGGAGGGGTTTGTCTCAAAAATAGGAAAAACACACTGGTGAAGCGGTAATTCACCACGTCACCAACTAATGTAGGAGAGGGAACATGTGAGTGAGTCACCACGGTAGGAGGCCCAGCTTGCAGTGAGCGAGGATCTGTGGCTGATGACTGAAAACAAAAGAAAAACATCCGGGACTGAAGCTCCGTCAACATTGGCTGGCGACGCGGCTGCATTTCTAAATAAAGCAAGTAATTTTGGCGGTGTGCGCAGCCGCAGCTCACGGTTCTAGGAGAAAGAACCGGGCATGCTCGTCCCATCCACAGCAGGTGGAGCTCACCGCTCCGCCAATCTCACAACCAGAGCGGAAAAAAGCACATCGGCTTGGATTATACAGATGGTGTGAAATAGCGCCAGTTAAATTATTACTTAAGTGTTGTTTGTGTGCATGTTGTTCAGTAGCTAATCAATCAATCGATCAATCAATCAATCAATCAATCAATCAATCCTTTATTAATCCCAGAGGGAAATTAGAGTTTCAGTACACACAATTCAGAGATCAGACATACATGGGCAAGACACATGACAAGAATTGGTGACTGTGGTCATTCGCAACCCGAGTTGCGCTACCTTAATAGAGATCAGAGGGTTACATGAGGAATTGGTTCAGGTGGAGGGGGAAAAAAGGCACTTCAGAGTTACCCTCCCACCAGGAGGGCAGCTTTGCTCTGCAAAAAAACACCTCAACTGATATGCAACAGACTTCAGACAACACAACACGAGACACCAATAGGAAGGCGGGGTGGGGGGTGGGGGCTGGAATCCTGTTTCCCCCAGCGAGAGCAGCCATCTACGGTGCTCAGCCACTGTACAGTCACAGGTGGGAGGGAGATCTTGGGAGAAGCGCAGAGCACATTGACTCCTGCAGATTGATGACCTCGCCAGGCTGAAGTCCACCATTCGGATAACAAGAATTTGTTTGGGTCAGGCTGAGATAATTTTCCTCTCTGCCTTCAGTCTTTAAACTGATCGTTCCAGTCCTTCAGTGAAGCCAATTTTGGGTTGTTAAACTTGTCCATACTGTCCAGTGACCCTCTCCGAGATGACATCCATTTTGCGCACTAATACCGGTATCGCAGCTAGAACATTGTCCAGCTTACGATTCACCTCGAGTAACGTCCCAGTCTGAGAAGTTTCCACACGGACGGTGCTTTCTGAGGGTGCGGGCCGCCCTCCAATTTCTCCCGTCTTCCCAAATCTCCAGAAAACCAGATATCCTCCCACTCCAATCAGGAGACATCCAGTGATCATCAGGCCGAATATCCACACGTCTTAGATATCCTCAATGGACAGCTGGGAGAGGCATATGATCTTCCACTCCTTCCAGGAATCCAGCATATACCCCACCGGGTGTGTCCCCTGTGGACATGTGGGAGCCCCCTGCTCTGTCCTCATTGTTGAAAAACTCTTATCAATCGCGTTGAATGACCAATTTAACAAATCCATGGTTAGTAAAAATAGGGGTTTTCAGAAGAAATGCAGAGAAGCGCTCTGTGGGCAGACAGGACAAAGAGCCTTGGGAAAAAAAGATAAGGGAGCGAAAAGAGAAGCATCTATAGTCCACGAGTGCCAGGAAGAATGCTATAATTAATATCATCTGGTTTTTTTCTGACCCTACACACTGTGTGTGATGCGTGTTTGGAAAGCGCAGGCGCTGGTTTAGCGTGAGAGATTGGAGGTGTGGAATGAAAGCGTGTGAAGAGGGTCAAATGCGTGTCTCACGCTCAGTGCGTGAGAGTTGGCAGCTCTGCTAACATGTTTGACCAAGCAGTTATATGACACGGCGTTTCCCCATTCAACCAGCAAAATAGGGCTTGTGATCGCGACGTCATCACCGACGCAGCTGCTCTGTTGGAGGCGTGTGAGTCCTTACTTGTTGCTTGTTACTACTGTAAACAGCGCACTCAGTCTCATTCTTGCAGCTTAAATTAATCTATTATTTATGTGATCGGTTGTATTACACAACTCTAGTAAATCGTTGCTGTGTTGTGGGGTGACACATGATCGCCAGTGGAATAAAGGTGGAGAACAAGCTAACTTTTGACTGTTTTCCTGCTTAGAGGCAAAACCATGGAGACCAAGTATCTAGCTTAACAAAGTCTTGTCGGCTCGCTGCTGTAAGGATAATAATGCACTAAGTAACGGAGTATTTTCATACATCGTTTATTTCCTTCAACCACGACATGCACATGAAACACACACACACACACACACACACATACCGGTAAGCTAATGCGAGTGTACTGACTTACAACACAACTTCTCCTGCTACACTTCTTTCATGGGATGACAATTTTTATTGTTTTACTAGAAAAAACAGCAAATAAAATGTTTACCTCTCATTCAGACGGTTACATCTGCTCACACCACAAACAAGATAGCCGAAAATGTCCGTTATGCAGAACTGTGGCGGTAACAATATGTCATCGATGCTCAGGGTTTGGTTCTTTCATGTGGATAAAAACGTTTATAATGCTGATTTTGTCCACATACCGGTCCCCGACGTCTTCATATAATGTATCCCTGTATATTACGCATCCTTTTGGGGATTTTATAATGTTGTTTAACATTTTCTTTCACCCATATCCACTCCTTCTCAGCGACAGTACTGTTTTTTTCACAGTTTGTTCACACTCGTCAACCTTCCAACATGTCCGTGTACATCCCAGAATGCTATGCGTAATCACGTGTGATCACAAGTCCTATAAAGTACAGAAATATAATTTTACTTACTGATAAAAAGAAGCAGAAACTGCTTGGATGATCTGTTAGTGTAGTCAATAACCACATCTTGCCCTCTTTGTCCAAATAATTCCATGATTAACATCCAAACACGAACACACAGACAAAACTAAAGTTCAGAGAGAGAAAAGGCCGAACATTTATTAAAGTGAGACCGAGGTTTCTCAATGTCAAGTAACCTCGCCTTGATGTCTTGGTCCCGTCCCAGTTGCCTAAGAGATACGTCATCAGGGACCACCAAGGCATGTTCAATGTTCATGTTCTGAGGCGTCTGTTCTCCATTTGTTAGCCGTTTAGCTAGCTGAGCAAAGATACATGGGGGGTGGGGGGGGGGGGGGGGGCTTGTAGCCTGACTTTGGTCAAAAATTTCCCAGAATACAGCTCGGTATTTTCAAAAGGATGTCGGCAGCAGCTTCTCCAGGGGAAAATTTCCAGTTTAATTGTAAGTCAACTAATTGTAGCTATCGGGCTGAGGTCTAAAATGTTTTTTTTTAGATCCAAAGCAATTATCTATGGTTGGTTAGTTGTTTAGTAGTTACAGCTTTGGTGGCTAGCAAGTAGTATATCGCTTAATGTTACATCAGATTTAAGTCTACAAAAATAAACCTTCCCCATTTTTTTCTTTTTAAAACCACATTTACATTACTAATAGGTCCTATTGTTCAGTTCTGCAACACTATTGGCTGTTAAAATGTGTAGGTTCATTTATCTGGCCTCCTAGAACAACATGTGAAAGGTTAAAAAAGATTTTGCAGTTGTTTTCTAAATTTGGGTTTCTGGGGGTTAACATATACGCATTTAAAAAAGTAAAAGGCTCGTTTTAGATTTATATAGAAACTTATACATATAAAATATAACGTTACCTCATTTGTCACCTGATGTGACTGTCGCAGTCACGCGATGTAAGTCTGTTCCGTAGACTTATCAGAGAATCAGAGAGAATTTTATTGCCAGCGCTCCAGCGAACCAGAGCATAGGAACTTGACTCCACAGAACAGCCTGACCAAGATTACACACACACATATAGACAGGACAGATAGAGGCAGACCACGAGAGCAGCCATAACGGCGCTCATATAGCTGTTTTCTTTGACCAAGGAAGGACAGTGTCCTCGTAAGCAAGGCACCTTGACATTGAGAAACACCCCTGGTGTTTACATGCTTCTTCTTCCGAGTTAAACAGGCAGCCTGTTGGTTAGTGTGAGTGCTTCCGCCATTGGTGACTGGGGGTGGTTTGGAATGGAAAAACTAGAGGCCGACCAATATATTCAATTTGTTCTGTATCAGCCACCAGCAGAAATCATGTTTAAAAGTTGATTTAAAAATATATATATGCATATACAGTGTAGGCACCTGTGTGGCCAACTGCCGCCACTACTTGACTAAAGAAAGGACCTGAAGGACCCCAACACACCATTTTTTTTAATGTTTTGAGTTTGTTTTATATCTGAAGTTCAATAAATATTAAGATATGTATTCGCTTATTTGATATATTACACACAGTGAGTGTTCAGTTGTCTTTCCCAATGTGCTTCTAAAACGTATATATACCGGCCTTAATGGTCGACTTTAGGTATCGGCCATCGGCAACAAAAATCTTTAAAAATTGGTATCGGCATCAGTCTTAAGAGAACCCATATCAGTCGGCCTCAAGAAAAAACATGCTGTAAAGTAAGATTATCTTACTTACTTGCCCCACAAATTGAGAAACACTGCCTTAAGGACACTTAATAGGTAACAATATCGGTAACATTAGTAAAGGGAATATTCGTTTATTAATGCTTAATAATGCACTAAGTAACGTTAATAAAAGGACCCTTGTTGTAAAGTGTCACCAAAACTTTTCCAATAAGGTGCTGCGATTAAGGTTCATAAGAAAAACCAGGAGGAGAGCAGAGACTCCTGCTGCAGGTTTAATCCATACGTCCTCAGTCCAGACAGAGCAGGAGTGGGATCATGTTCAGGTTTCAGAGGAAATAAATCCAGAAGCCCAGTTCTGTTCATAGCAGGATGGGAACCATGTACATTTATTATATTGGCTAATAATTTCACCAGGTGAGGATATCCCATGAGGCTCCGCCTTCCTGTGGGCTGACTGGGCCATAGAACCTTCAGGTGATCCAGTGCAGCAACATCACCATGAACACATTGTCCTTTGACTCCTCCCAGTCACCTTTCCTCACCTCCAGTCTCACCTCCTCCCCCTCCCTCAGCAGCAGGTGGCCCACGCTGCTCACAGGCCCTGCCTCAATCACTCCTTCATGCAGCAGAGACAGGGAAGCTCCACCCTTCTTATCCCACCTCAGTATCACGTGGGCGGGACCTGGCCTCAGGTCTAAGGTGAGAGTGCAGAGGTAGATCCCGTCTGCTGGCGCTGTGAAGACACCGGTGTCAGAATAGATCTGTCCCTGGTTCAGAGATGTTCGGAACATAATGATTCCATTGGCTATGCTCCAAAGAGGTTGGCCCACAAAGAGCAGAGAGAGATCTGATTGGTCAGATGGGACAACAGCATCTGAGGGGTGAAAACATAAAATGATAAATGCTTATGTGTTTTCTTTTATTCATGAAGCTTTCAGACAAACATGAGACCCTTTAGACTCACCGGACTCCTCCCTCCTGGTGCGGCTCTTCCCACCACCCTTTTCTCCTCTCTTCTTGCCCCTCCTGTTCATCAGCTCCCACAGTTTATCAAGCTCCAGAGTCTCTTCAGACTCTGCCAGCACATCGGCATTGCTGAACACATTCTTGAAGACCCTCACGTGTTCCTCAAGCCCTCTCTTTAACAACCTCAGTTGGTCCGCCACACCTGAGAGGGTCACCTCCTGGTCAGCTAGAGTGACATTGCAGGAGCAGGGTTTCTCCTCTAGCTGAACCACCCTGTGTTGTAGCTCCTCCACCTTTTTCTCCAGCTTCCACAGGTCACTGCCGTCTCCAGCATGGAGAAGCAGCAGCTGATTGTGCACAGACTGACCTCCTCCACTGGTCCTCCTCATGCCATCAGGCAGCCAGTCTGGGAGGGAAGAAGAGGAGGGCTGGTCAGCAGATGGTGCCTCCTCTCTTCCTCCTGAGAAAGAAAAGGAGTCTGAAATTCAGAGACTGAACCTGCAGGACTGGTTAGATCAGAAAAACTAAAAAAAGACACAAAATAAACCAGAGACTTAAAAGGTTTGATATACGGAGCTAAGAGGTGAAAGAGTGTGTAAAACATTGATTTTCAAGTTTTAGATTTAAGATTGTCTCAGTTGGAGGGAAACAAAATTGTGTCATTTTTGTTGAAACTGTAGAAGCACGCACGCACGCACGCACGCACACACACACACACACACACACACAGCTGTTGCTGTTTTGTCCCAGAAAACGGACTCTGCAGAGAACAATCAGTGCTGCCTCCTCCTCCTACCTGCACAGGTGCACTCACTTGGGCTGATCACCTCCAGAGCAGAATAAAAGGGAGGGACTGGATCTGTACCAGTTCGCTCATGTGTGCCATTTGTTTGTGTTTTAATGGCTTTCAAATGGGTTTTAGTTGTTTAAGCTTTGTGAAGCTTAACAACTTTTAGAGGTTTTTAACAGACGAGGGACCAGAGTGCTGGTTTCCTCTTGGCTCCCAAACTTGTGTTTTAGTCAGTGGACTTTGTTTTGTGAATGTTTGGGAGCATTCGGATGTCTGTTTTAAACGTAAACCCTTGGCCATTTTAACAATGTGTTTAAGTACTTTTAGATTTGGAGCTTTTTGTCATTTTAAAATCCTTTAAATAAAATCAACGTTTACAATTTTCACACCCGAAACACATGCCTCTGTGTTAATCCCTGTCCTTCTGCTTATCCACCAATAGAGGACGTTACACACACACATACACACACTGTATCATAGCTGATCGAAGGCAATAACAAATTGTCTGTGCCTCTGGGTAAATCAGTGCTGACCTTTCTCAATAAAACACCTTAACAAGTTTTTTGAAGTTAAAAATCTAAAATAAAATCAAACAAAGTCACACATTTCCTCTTCTAGCTCCTCATTCCATCCTGGTGAATTTTCAGATTAGAATTATTAATCTGAATCTTGTTTTTAGACTCTTTCTGCCTTTTAAGCCTTTTACACACCCACTTTCTGCTATAACTGGTCAACGGAAAGCACCTTGTGAATAGTGCTATGTAAAACTGCATACTGTGATATCTTATTCACCATGTCACCACCACCAGCTCCAATGCCAATCTCCTCACCTCCAAAATGTGTTTATGGTAGGGTGACAGTTTGCTTAAAGTCATAACATTTTCCTGTCAAGTTTGTGTAGAAAATGACCTACGTACACATACATTAGCTTTTTTTCACCTCTCATTTGTCAATCAAATATAATTCAAGCATAACTAATTATTTTAGTTAAACAGCATCTCAACTGCTGAAAAATAGACTGAGTTACATCACACAAGGTAGTGCAAAGGAGAAATATTCCTTATTTCTCAGCTCAACTTTAACTCTTTTCACTTGTTTTAAAGATATTTCAACTTATTTGTCTTATTTCTTAAACATATCCCCTCTTAAAGCAGTACTACTATAAAAGTCTATATAAACTCCTCAGAGTGAGATCCTCATCTGTGCCCCAGACAAACTGGTTCCCAAAGTCAGAGACTCTCTTGGTCAGGTTGCTTTTCACACCAAACTGTCAGGAATCTTGGCGTGACCTTTGACCCAGCTCGATTCTCGTGTCAACTCTCTGGGGGGGGGGGGGGGGGGGGGTTGTGAAAACGCCGCTGGTGATCGATTCAGTCCCGGGGGTGTAAACTGCGGGAATTGGAGCCAGAGGGGGAGGAACCGCGGGGAAAAAATCACTGCTAGCAGGGGGGTGGCCCAACACCTCAGTGACAATAATAATGACGATGGCTGGGTTAGTTTGGGAGAAGAGGAACAGTATTCCAAGTGGATCAGGCATTTTGATGAGCCAGTTGGATACTGTGGAGACAGGGATCTGTCAAATTCAGAACACACTGATTTTCTGTCAGTTTTTTTGGATGAGGAATTCTGGACCCTCATCACAACTGAAACTAACCGATATGCTCACCAGTATTTAGAGAGGGAGGAACTGAAATCTAGCTCCAGATATAATGACTGGTACGATGTAACTGTCCCAGAAATGAAAGCTTTCATTGCCATTCAGTTCTGCATGGGGCTTGTGGAAAAGCCTGAGATAGAGGATTATTGGGCTGGCTTTTGGCCAACATACACACTTGGCTTCAGCAAAGTGATGTCAAGAAACATATTTGAGATCATCCTTTCTTTTCTCCACTTTGTAAACAACGATGAGCGTGTTGAAAGGGGTCAGCCAGGTCATGACAGACTGTTCAAGGTGCGCCCCATTATTGAGATGATAATTCCACGCTTTTCATCCATCTATGGTCCGCAGAAAGAAATGACCATCGCATACATACATACATACATACATACATACATATATATATATATATATATATATATATATATATATATATATATATATATATACATGGTTATATATGTCTACATAGGAATATGTATATATGTATCATAAACAATAACAACACTAAGAAAATAAGACAAAAACATTAAAAAAAATCTGCAAATGGGATGCAATCCAACATGGCTGCCACCGGATGGCGTCATAATATGCAAATTATGTGAGTGAATTTGTTCCTATCACAAAATTTGGCTCATAGTGAAGATTTTTCTAGTTTACAATGTTCCTCTATCTCTAGCCAGATTTAAGCTACAAGCTCTTTAAATAGTGATGTAAAAAATTCATATTGTACTGAAAAAAACATGGCGCCTAAAGGGTTAAGTGAGAAGCACAGAGATTTTTTAAAACATTTTATGAAATGCAAATAGTTCTTTTTTTAGTACCCCAAGATCCAGTACATCCACCTGGTGACCCTACCTGTCCATCCATCTGGTGCCTCCTCAGGGCTCTTCAGTTTCTCCTGCAGCTCCCTTAACTGGCTCTTCAGGGCCAGAATGGAGTAAGCCTCTTGGTCACGGAGCGGCCACTCCAGGAATTCCATCACCTCCTCTTCCAGCAGGAGCTGCAGCACCTTGTTATGTCTGAAGGCATCCTCCAGCAGAGAGCGAAAGGAGGCAGAGAGGAGCTTCACCTGTGCTTCCTGCTGTTTGTCAGTCTCCTGCAGAGCTGCAACAGAGCTGCCCAATTGGGTCAGACCCAGGTCCAGAGACCTGGTTCTGTTCTGTTCCGAGACCACAGACTCCTCAACCTTCAAGTGGGTGAAGCAACAGAGTTAATTTGCACAATGAATAACCTGAAACATGTCAGTTTAAATGAAACATCCACGTTCGTCACTGGTTTAACAAATAAAACAAGGATCCAGGGACATAATTCATTAAGATGCACTGCAGGCAGGTTCTGTGGGGTTCCAGGGTAGGCCAGTATCACCCTGACAACTCCTCCGCCACGATCGTCCCACCAGGTAACGTGATGAGTGAGACATCTAAGTATTTTGCTTTTTATGGCTGACACGATTCATACACATTTAAATGATTAGTAGATAAATACACTCCAGTCATATCTGGTATTGGCACTTTTAGGTGTTTTATGGTTGGATGCACTTACTACACTTATTACGGTAATATTTCTCTGGCATTAGAGGAAGTGCAGTTGTTTGCTGTCTTGCTGCTATAGTTCTGAACAACTCATTAAAGGCAGTAAAACACGATTGACTCATTAATCACGTCACACATACACTCACTGTAATATCCAATTGTTGGTAAATGAAAAAGTAGCTTTAGATATTTTTAGAGCTGACTATTTGTTTATAATTCACCGTTAGCATTGTTAGCTCAACGTTAGCCTCTACAGGTGAGTTTTCAGCTGCTTTTTAAAGGAGACCACTGAGTCCACTGATCTCAGGCTCAGGGGGAGAGAGTTCCAGAGTCTGGGGGCCACAGCAGCAAATGATCTGTCACCTTTGGTCTTTAGCCTCATAGATATGTATATAAACACTATATGGCAAAAGCGGGAGTCGAGGGCGAAGCTGAACGGTGGCCATCTTACCTCAGACAACAGACCCCTCCGCTCTCAATGGTAGCAGCTGAAAGGTGAGTGATCAGCTTAAACAAAAACGCCCTTAACTCGATGCAATATTAACAGATTTACAAGCGGTTTGCCTTGTTACAACCCTCAGAACACATGGGCTTGAGACAACATACTTGCACATGCTGAAAGTAATTAGCCTGGCAAGCCAGACTAAATAAATGTATTATTTAGTCTGGCCACGCTCCATTGACGGCTCTTGGTTGTGGGGCGGGTTCTACCGTTGTCTTTCAAATGATCTCCGCATTCCACTGGACAATGAATGTGACATACTCTTGTTTCACTCTGTTGCATCATCCCACCCACCAGGCATATAGAGTGCCCTGATTGGCCCACAAAGCGGATAAAGCTCTGTGATTTGTTCACTAAGCAGATAGAGCACTATGATTGGCCCACCATTATGGACCAATCACAGCTCTTTATGTGTTTGAAACTCCTCTAGAGAGCTGTGATTGGCTAGCCAGAGTCCTGGTAGGAGCTGCGGAGGTTCCAATGGAGTGTGCCTAGACCAAACTTTGCAAAGCAAGAATTTGGTCTAGTTCACTAGGCTAGAAAGTAATGCTTTTGCTTTTGAAAGTGACTTAATTGTGAACCATGTGTCCCGCCTAGGCTATCTGCATGTTATTCAGGTTGAGACCACAATCGATATTTTATGTTGTTCTACAAAACCAATAACGACTTTACGACAGCTCAATTGTTGTGTAAATGGCTGTGTTTGTGGATGTTTTCATGTTTATTAGCTGTCTGACTTGGCTTAGAGATGACGAGGCTAGAGTGGGTGCACTGCTTAGCAAAACAAAGTTGACTATTTACCTCAGTGGGAGTCGCTCGTTTTATTTTAAATAAATTAATGCTAAATTGCCCGTGATTTTTAAGCGTCTTGATTTGTTACACAAAACTTCAATTGGGATATATTCAAACAGGACATTTCTGGATTTATGTTAACAAAAATACACTTTCATTAATTGTTAAGCTTGAGAGTCAACATGCCTGACTTTCGTGCAGCCTACAGATGCTCGAATCGCCGCTGTGACAAACTGAGATAGCGTGGGATCACCTTTCATCTGTAACTGTTGCAAAGAGTCTGTTAATTGTTTTTATGTAAATAAAATGATTAGAAACTGTTGTTCGATTGCTGCTGCTACCTTCTTCTATACATTGTTTATCTGGTTTTATAATTGTTGAAAATCTCCTTCACAAGATCAATCCATTATCCATCTATCTTATTTATTACTGTTTTATTTATTAACCTAATCTATCTTTTGATTATTTTCTTAAATTTTTCAGAAAGCATTTCCAAAGAGCTTATAATTAATAAATGAAAGTCAATAAGAAATCAAAAGTGAAGAAACAGTGAAAATACAAAATAATTTGCTGGGTGAAATTTTGTTGCTGGCGGGCCGGTTCTGGCTGACAGATGTGATTTGGGTGTTGGTTGTCTTATTTGTTGGGGTGCACATTTTGTATCTGTGTCCTGTTTATGTGGGCTTTACCTCAAAAGAACTTTGAAATCTCATCTCTAAACAAATCCTATTTCACAAACCAGGAATATATATGTATATAGATAGATCTATATAATATAAAAATAGGCTATGTATACTTTAAGTTAATTTAGCTTAAATGTGTTATCTATGAAAGATTAAATGCTTTGTAGAGTGAAATTACAGAACTTTCTGAGGCAAACCCATCCTATTTCATAGACACATCTCTGGTGTTTATAACAAATCAAACCTTTTGAAAATCGGTTGATGTTACGGCTGGAGCCTTTTTGTGTTGTGATTTCATTTTTCTGTGCATTTTTATGTTGCATCTGAGGAGCCTGCCTGCAGACTATGGCCTGTTGGCTCACCCTTGCTCCTCCCTGCACCAGCTGAGCTGGGTTTTCATCAGCCGCAAATTGTTTAAAGGACCTGCTGGAGCTCCTCACCAATGGGGACAATAGTGCAGAGCTGCCTTTCCTCTGGTCTGTTGTCTCCCACTTAGAACTTCGATATTGTGCTCTTTAGAGTTATGTTACATGTTACTGTTTGAACCTGTTATGGTAAAAGTGGATTTAGATCCATGGTGGTTAACAATAATAATAGTCATCTTTTCTGAATTAAGAGAAAGTAAATAAAACTTTTGTTAATTTTCCTTTGTGTCACGCGTCCATGTTACCCCAGGCCCCCTAGACACCTGGTTGTAACAGTTGAAAATTGAGCAAGTTAGAGTTATTTAAATAGTACATGCACCATACACCCCAATGTCAAGAAAGAGGGCAGCTGTATGAGGTAAGATGGCCGCCACATTCCTACGTCGCATCCCATGGGCGAACAGCGGGGACAAGCCATCTAGTGTTTATATATACATATCTATGTTTAGTCTGGTGCACTGGATGGATAAGGAGGAGCATGCAGCACACTTCTGTGATTGGCTACATGTTACATTTCACAGGCAGCATGTTTGTTTGTCATTGATATCAGCTCAGTTTCACCCAATATTAGAGTAAAATAAAAAGATGCTGTGGCATCTTAGGGGTACAAGAAATAACCTCTAGGTCGCTCCTTTTTACTGGTTTTGGTTTTAACAACTCTTGAGCTTTTTATTAAATTACAAATGCTAGCGCTGCAGCGTTAGCATGTTGAAGACTCAGCAACCCCACAAACCCACTGATGGTAAATAGAAACTACGTTCCACTTTTGTTTCTTCGAAAAGAGAAAAACTGACACCCTCTGAGCTGGCTGAGAATGAAACTTTCAGGGCGCGTTTAAAGATTCTGTTATTTGCCTACAAGGCATTGAATGACCTAGCATCCCCCTACCTATCAAAGCTGTTTGTACCTTATGTGTCGGTGCTTCCCCTAAGCCGGGCGTACACTGTGCGACTTTTTCACTCGTAGCACTCAGCTTCAGCTCAAACTGTACGACTTCCTCGCAGAGCAGATCTCACGAGTCATGTGCTCACACTGCATGACCCAGTTCTCGGATGCGACCTGACTGCTCACACTGTACGTCTGGTAGCAACACGTCGGCCCTAAAAATATGCTAAAAATAGCAGTTTTTACTCAACACGTCAGACTTTTTTGTCTTGTTTTGCCTGTTGTCCTTCGGGAGTGCTGCAGGAGGACACACAGGGATTTATGGGGGTTGGATGAGGAAAACGAAATAAAGAAAGTAAATCTGTGTTTAGTGATCAGTTTAATTTGACATGAACACGACAAACACGCTTTCTTGACAATCTTTGTGAGTAAAAAGAAACGTGTAGAAACAAAAATGAACAGCGAGTGTTATTAGGGAAATAGCGAGCAGCGTTGATGCAGGATTGCGCATGCACCGTGAGCGGTTCTGATACTGCGAAATATTAAACACGCCAGAAGTCCGTGCGACCTCACGACTGCTGATCGGCAGCTGGTCACGTGGTGTTAATCGCCTCTAGTAACCCCCTGTACACTACACGACCGCTCGGCGCAAAACTCGCCCCGATGTCGTGGATTCTCGCACGACTGGAAAATCGGCTCAAAAAAGTGAAAAAGTCGCACAGTGTACACCCGGCTTAAGCTCAGCTGACCGCTTGCTGCTCTGTGTTCCCAAAATGAACTATAAAGCGAAAGGAGAGCGGGCTTTTGTGTGCTGTTCCGCATCTTTGGAAAACTCTCCCTCTCACCGTACCTGAGTTTTCAACAGCCTCAGTTTTCAAGTCTAGACTGAAAACTCACTTTTATGTTTTGGCTTTTGGACAGTGACCTCTTCTATGCTTGGTTTCACTGTCTTATGCTGTTATTTTTTACTGTTAGGGCTGTTATGATTGTTGGTGTGCTAGTTTTTATTGCTCTTATTATTCTTATAGTTGATTTTACCTTATTTATTGAATTGTTTTTCGATCGTGTGTTTCTGACTTTTATTGTTTTATTTTATCTTATTTACTGATAATTTCATTGTTATTGTACCTGTCGCACTTTGTTCAGCTCTCATGCTGTTTTAAATGCGCTGGATAAAAAAAATGGTATGGTATGGTAAATCTGTTTCAGTATAACACCCATTAGACTGTTTTGTAATTATTTCACCACACAATTCTAACATATTGTGCCTCTCAGAGGAGCATCTGGCCCCACCTTTAAATTTGATCTAACAATTCCACTGTGCACAGGATGAAAAGATTTAAAGAACAAACTATTTTCTGAATTTTTGTCCCTGGGGATAATAGTTCGGCAGATTTATCTGTTCACAGAATTAAAAGAACTTCTGCAAAAAGGAAAGAACAAAAATACGCGGTTTACACATTATCAGTTGCTCTTCATCCACGTAGTTCTGGAATGTGTTGCAGCCTGAAATTCAGAATTTGATGCACATTAATGAAGGAAAAGAAGCTGATAAACAGAACGTGCTACGAAATTAAAAGTTAAATCAAAACGTTCAGATTTCATACTCCAGCCATGAGACCTGCTTCTTCAAATTCTTGAACTATGATTGTTTTTTCAACTTAGACCAACTGTTACAATTTTGTTTTATTACCTTTCTTTTGTTTTTATTTGAGTAAATATGTGAAAATTGTTTTAATTTTAAAATAAATTTCTATCATGTTGATGATGTCCAAACTAACCTGAAATAGCCCAAATTAAAGAAGAAAATTAAATCACAACAAATAAAAATGTGGGTGTGAAGAGCTTCATGAAGCAAACTGTAAGAAAAACAGCTAAAGATAAAGAAAAGGTGAATCTAGTTTCTACTTTCTAGTTTTTGTAGTCATTTTTATTCTACTGACTCCTGAACCATTAAGACAAAAACAAAAACACCCGTTCAGGCTGGATTTTGTGTGACCTTCATCATTCTGCCTTTCCCAGGATCCACCAATATTCCTCTTTCTAATTTATTTTCTCCTTCCCTTTCCTTACATGTTTTAATCACATAATTTTCAAATTTTTATGATATTTTTAAATATTTAAATTTTATTTATTTATTTATATATTATCTTTTTTAAATTTTTTTCTTGTTAAGTGCCTCGTGATGTTTATCCTGAGAGGTGCTATCTAAAATATTGTTTTCTGTCTTTTCTTCTCTCTCCATGTTCGTTAACTATGAAGTCACGTTTGAGTCTAACAGGCTCTGAGATTTCCTGTCTGCCCAGAGAATGAAAATGGTGTGTGGGGGTTTTTTGCCACGTGGCCACAGAACCAAAAATGGCATCACTGTGATGTTTCATCACCACGTGTGGAGTCTCTCATGGTGACGGAGGAGTTTAGCCCCCCCGCCCCCCCACCCCCCCGTGATTGGAGGGTTGCACGTTGGCGCCCCATTCTGTTCAATAATTACAGGCCTTTTGAAAATCATCTGCCATGTGAACCCTTAGCCCTGAGAGGTTTTCATTGAGAAAAATCCAACAGCTAAGTGCTACAGAACAAACAGCTGTGTCTGGAGAGTTTACTTCCTCAGGATTCATTTAATGTTCCGCAGTCAGAAGTTTACCTTTTGGAGGCCGTGCTGCAGCGCCTCCATTGCTGGCTCCCAGTCACTGGCCCCGCCCCACTGAGCTCCGCCCCCATCACTGTTCTCCTCCAGGGTCAGTCTGTTACTATTGGCCAGCTCAGTCACTCTGTCCACGCCCCTCTGCAGGTGAGCTATGGTGGCCTTCAGACTCTCACAATCCACGGAGGAGTTACTCCTGTAGTGGGCAACGTACAGGTAGCTCACGTCATCATCTAAGTCCTGCAGCCGCCTCTCGTGCTGCGTCACATTCTGTGCCAGCCCCTCCACCTGCTGCTGCACCGACACCTTGGCCTGCTCCACCTCCAGACCCGTCTCCATGAACAGAACCTGGCTGTTCCGAGCCGTCTGGTTAATCTGCTTCTCCAGGACCTTCAAATTCCGAGTCAGCTCCTCAACGACGCCTGATGTGACCTCCATGTCCTCCATCAGCCCCCCCACCTGCACACAGACAAGTTAAAGATGCTCAGGTTCTTTCTGGTCCAACACCTTGCACCTCAGCTTGGACCAGATTCTGATTGGACAAACCTTCACTGTGTTGTTGACCACTGTGTTGTCGAGGCGCATGATGGCCCCCCAGAGCGCCGCCGTGTCTGATGGAGGGTGGGGGGGCAGCTGATTAATTGGTTTCTGGTCAGAAAACTGATCCTGGTTTTGTTTCAGCTGAGCTAATGTTGTGTTTATGGCCTGAAGGCTGACCTGGGATCAGAGATGTAACGATACAACATTTAAGCTCTGTCGAAGGACAGGTCCGGTTCTGACTGACAGCGGTTTGGTTCTGACCTGCAGCAGCTTCTGCTGTTGTTTCAGCTTTGTGTCGACCTCCACCTCGAAACTGCTCAGGTTGTAGTGCAGCGCTGCATGCTGGGAGCTCAGTGTGTTTTCTGTGCTGCTGTGCTGGTCCTCCACCTGTCTCTGGATTCTCTCCATCTGCACAAACACTTGGTCCAGTTTGTCCTCCTCCAACCCCCCCCTCTGCTCCGCCTCCAACTGGATACCTTTCAGCTCTGCCACATCCTGGGTCAGAATCCCCACCTGTCGGCTCAGGTGCTCCAGAGAGCGGTTGAAGCCCTCCAGCATCGGCTGCAGCTGGGACATGACCAGAGCCGTCACGTCAGATGCGGGGAGGCCGACCGGGGTGTTTGGGTAAGGAGGGGCCACCTGATCTTCAGCTGGTGAAAAACAAAACCTAAATGTAACACTCTGGACTAAAACTGATCTCAGACCATTTTAGGAACAGAACAAACAGATGCTGACCAATTCGGATTCTTCTGGGAAAATGTGAACCAGAGTTCTACATGTTTGTTCAGCAGGAGCTAAAATACGACCAGAAGTTTCTCACACCCACACAGCTGAAAAACAAACAGTCCAGCTGGCTCACAGCTCTCTCGGGACCTGGACATGTACCGAGTGTCTAAATGGGGCTCAAAAACACCTAAAACTGTTCCGCCAGGTCTCTTGGGACTGGGTCAGAGGTCACACAGGGTAACCACGGTCTCGGCTGGAGGTGGATGTTCAGAGGAAGAAATCAAACACACCCCTTTCAGCTGAAAGTTTAACCTGAATGTAGGTGTGATTTACCGAACCAAGCTGCTTCCACTTCCTGTTCAGACTTGACCAGCGTCTCAGCAGAGCGCTTGTTGGTCGTAAATGTCACAAAGTAAAACAAAACTTTCACGAGCTCAGGCCCAGACACCAACACCACAGATGTTCAGTCGAAGCCTATAATGGCCCCATAAGACACTGTTTAATACAAAGAGGTGGCCGTATATTTATAAAAACATTTTACATAGAAGGATAAAGAACCATTTGTCTATGTTCCCACACTCTCTCTATACATTTTTATAACTTAAAGGGATTACCATCCCAAGTGAAATTTTGTCTATTTCCGTATTCCCCAGAGTTAGATGAGTGAGAAAAAAGCATTTTGTAACCAGTTCTGGTGTGGCAGCAGTCTGTCTGCTTGAGCTTAGCATAAACAATGAAAGCGAATAGCAGAATAGCATTTTGTGTGCAAAAGTGATTAAAATGACCCAATTATGATAGAAATTATTCCTGGTGAGCTCAATAATCATGATCAATAATCACAGTGCACCCCAGGGCAGCTGTGGCTACAATGTAGCTCATTAACAACAGTGTGTGAATGTGCGTGTGAATGGATGACTGATACGCTGTAGTGTAAAGGGCTTTGGAGTCCTCTGACTCTGAAAAGCGCTATACAAGGATGAGCCATTTATCAAATGAAAAGTAAGTAGTAACACGAAGGATTTGCAGGAGCCGATTTAGACCTGGGACTACATTGCGACAAAGCACCGCTGTAAACCGTCACTGCATGACGCATTGAAATAACACAGCAGTCGATAACCCACTGGCCTGCTCTGGGGTGGTTGGCTGCAGGTGGGCCTGTGGGCTTGCTGTTGTTATCTCCAGGGGCTAGTTGTGACCTCTCAGGAGGGGTGTTGGGGCTTCTCAGGCGGCAGTGTCCCTGGGGTCTCCATGCTACGGGGAGACCTCTGGATCTCTGGGGTTTGGAACCCCTCCAGCTTCCGCACGTCCTTGGGGATGTGGCCCCTCACACTCACTATTGGACACTCATATAGAGAACCCTTACATACAAATGCATGTGTACACACACAGGTGCTCACATGGAGCTCTCTCAAGTGTGGACTTGGGCATTTTCAACGTATGACCTAAGGCTGTGGTTGGCACTAAATGCATTATTACCATGTGGTTTTCAGTAAAAACTGTTATATATCCTCATGTTGTGGGTGCAGTGATATTTTTGTTTTGTTGTATTATCCCCTTTTCTCTCTCTCTGCAGGTCTAGAAGCAGAATCTTGTTCATCATTTATTAGAATGATAGTGTGTATGAGGGTGTGTAGGAGAGTTTTCAAAGGTCTCTGATGCCACATTCTATCATCTTCTGGTTCTTTCTGGTACACTCCAAGAGGTGTACTCAGCTGCTCTACAAGGACGGTGAACTGTGGAGAATTTCCGGTTCTGTCCTGACCTGAGCCGAGACTCTGCACTGCCGGTCTCCTGCGCGTGTCTTCACGGGCGCTGTACCCCTGCACCCAAAGGCTCTGCTGTTGACCCTTTGCACGTGACGTCACGCCACTCATGTGAGCGCCCCCCTTCGCCATGATGGATGGCAAAAAGACCATTTACATCTGTAGAAACTCCAGTGAAGCTAGTCAAAACAAGCCAGTTTGTAGCCTTTTATCGCTTTTATTTAGTTGATTTGACAGTAAAATGGATTTAGCTTGCTGCGTAGTTGGCTGCAGTAAGAGACAAAGACGTAAACTCAACTCGTTTTTTCTTTTTAATAACTTTGATGGAGACTGAGGACGGAGATGAACTGCAGCGATCAATCAAGCGGACTAGCAGCCCTCAGATTTGCAGCGAACATGTTTTTACCGGGTAAGATTAACGTTCATTTATTTCACGAGGAAGACGGGGACAGGGATAAATGTGATGTGTTTATACTAGTTATTGATAATCCCGATGGATGGGTATTTCACCACGGACGCTGCGCTCCGTCCTCTGTAGTGTAAAGCGAGATAGTTATTAACAATATTAAAGCTCTGATGTATGATTACGTGTGTTAAAATTACATTATTTATTTATATGAGCGTTGCCGTTCAGAGATCTTCTCATTCCGGTGTGAGAGCAGCAGCTGAACCCGGTAACACCACCAGCAACAGAAGCTGGTAGAGATCCGGACTTTTTAAAAATCAGCTTTGGTGTAAAGTGAAACGCTGTTTACCACATAAAGTTATAAATCCAGAGGGGTGAATTTAGGCAAAGTCAGCAACATGTTTACATCGGTGAACAGCTGCAGAGAGAACGTAAGCTAACATTGGTAAGCTAGTTAGCATACCGCTCTATATGAGCCCCCGCTAGATGCGCTACTTCTTCTGATAACTGAACTGGGCATGAACTAGTTGAAGGAATGCTGGAGGAGTTTTGTTTTTGTTTTGATCGCAAAAACAATTTCAGGCTCTACATTTCCCTTTGTTTAGTAATCGTGTCGCTCACTGTTTACATGCTTTTGCCGTCCAGCATGGTGGACCCACGTGATTAGGTGACGTCAGTGCAAAGGGTTAATACTTTGGATTGGAGGGGGAGAACCAGCGTGCATGTGCCAGTTAGTGTAGATCTATAGGGAGCCTAAGTCACTTCCGCATCATGGGTCCCTGGAAGAACGAAAAAATGAATGCAAGTCAACAGGGCTAAAAACGCTATTTCCTAATCCGCTTAGCCTTACGCCCTGGATAGCACATATGTTGGACTGCAATTTAAATGAAAAGTAATGATGGGTGTTTCGACCACGCCAGTCACGTACTTAGAGATTTATCAGCTTGTAAAAGTTCGTAATGAGCATGACTACAAACTAGAAATCAGCATATGGCATATGTGACGTCACCACATAATCTCCTCTCCCCAAAGTAGCTGCTACTTACCAAATGACCAGATTTATGGTGGGTCTTCCCTCCTGTGGGAAGTTTGCTGAACTTACAGCCATTTTCCCTCAGTTTTCTGGTTCGATGATGTCACTTTCATGAAGCGCATTTGTAGTCCTGGACTTACTTTCATACAAAACCTAAAATAATAATAAAAATTGAAGTGTTTGTCCGCGTCCCTTGAAATGAACTCTGAGTTCACCCACTAGTGGAACACACCAGTACTACATGCAGTGCAGTGCTGTGTAGCAGCAAGTATGTGAACAAAGACGCGGCCTGCTGCCTGCGCCAGCGCAAGGTTAAGAAGCATGTTAATTCCAGGCCTTAGAGGGAAGCTGCAGGACACATGGGAGAAAATGATGTCATCACCATGTTGGTCAGCTAACATGGGCGCACGCACACACACACACACACACACACACACACACACACACACACACACACACACACACACACACACACACACACACACACACACACACACACACACTTCCTCCAGAGGAAATCCTTTTTTTCCGTAGACATTGTTTGCTTGTGTGTGTGTGTGTGTGTGTGTGTGTGTGTGTGTGTGTGTTTCTGTGTTAAAAAGGAGAGGCTTTCTGGATCAGAACTGTAAAACATTTTTATCCTGGACTGGTTCTGACCTGGTGCCTGCTTCCTGTGGGTTTGGTGTTCCTGTTCCTGATGGCTGTGGCTGGTTTCTGGTTCCAGTTGAGGGTGTGAGGAGTTCTGATGATTGACTGGATTGGCGGTGTCGTACAGCGGGTCGAAAAACATGTGGTGGTCGTTCTGCTCGCGGTGCAGATCGGCTTCTTGCTGCTGAAGTCCAACGGAAATATCTGAGACACAAACCAAACAGTTTGAATTAAAAGTCCCCTAGAAAGTTTTCCCCTACAATTGTAATCGGTTCTTTGTTCTTTGATTCGTCATATGAAACTTGTGGTGTGTGGACAGTGCGATTGGACAAGGGACAAAGTTCCAAGGACCACAAGCTGTGGATCTTTCTGGCATTAATTCTGATAGTCTGGATATTCCCAGAACATTCAGGAAAATCACAGGTGTGCCCAGTGGTGGTCCGTCCTACAGGCAAACTAGGCAGCCACCTAGGGCGCCATCCAGAGGGAGGAGCCAAACTGTGCCCACACCACCACCAGCAACTCGCCCACAGAAAAAGAATAACGTTCTGCTGTCCATCTATATCTACATTCTGCAGTAATAAAGAAAAAGATTACACTTATTTACTGAACCAAGCCGGTGGTATTCCCATCCAGCTCTCTTCAGTCCCACTCTGAGCTCAGCTGCCTGCCCTGTTGTGATCAGAACCTGCTAGCAGACAAATGTGAGACGGTCAGGTTCTGAGTGTGAACGGCTAAACCACTGAGGAGAATGCAGTGGCTGAAGCCATCAGGGGCGCCGTTTTGAGAGAGAAAAAGAACAAGAGAAAGTGTGTACTTTTGATTAGATTTGTTTTGTCATATTCTCTGATTAGCATTTAACTGAGCTAGCTAGCCGTAGCTAAAGTAGCCTCATGTCATCAGGTTGAGATTAGGTAGCAACAAGTGTGTGTTCTGTCATGTTCTGTTGTGGTTCTGTCTCAAAAGTGTTCCTTTGCTACCTGCATACCTGTGTCCCGTTTAGGACAGCAAATTCCCTATATCACCCCTCTTTCCCGTGCCTCTTCCCGGTATATTCTCTGAAAATTTTCCAGAAAACCCCCCACCTCTTCAACTTGGAGACCTGACAGAAGGGAGAGCCTGTTAGAGTGTGTATCTAGCTGCAACCCTAACCCAGCAACACCATGAACCTACTGTGTCTGCTCTCCTGACTGGACCCAGACACTGATCAGGGGCGCAGAGACAGTAGCTGTTTCATGGTGTTGCTGTTTGGATAAAACACGTTCTCCTACCACAGATGAAGAGCTGCTGGTCAGCCTGCAGAAGACTTAGAAGAAGATTCTTCTTCTGTTAAAGAAGTCAGAAGTTTGTGATGCAGTCCCACAATAGATATTTACATGTATGTTATAGATATTCTTTATCTTGTGTCCATGTGGTGTAATCAAGGCTGGATTAACCATAAGGGCAACTGGGCAATTGCCCAGGGGTCCACGAACTCTAAAGGGCCCAGGCCCAGGGCAGCAAGGGCATGAGCAAAATACTGTATCTGTAATCTCCCGCTTTATATTAAACAAACTGTCCACCCGGGCTTTTGCGTTGCAGACGCTTCGCTGCCTACTAGGGCTGCAACAAACGATTATTTGGATAATTGATGAATCGGATGGGGTCTCGACACGATTAATCGATTAATCGGATTACATGGGGAAATTTTTAAAAACTGCTAGGGAAACGTTAGTTCTCTCCTTCCTTCACTTTATTTAACACAACATTATTAGAAAACAGTTCAATAGCAGAAAAAAAACATGCCATCACCTAAATTGTCTTATAAGGTGTATAGACAGAGACCCTGAGCTACATCTATCTGTGACCTAAAATGCTTGGTCCAATTAAACAGCTTGAGGGCAATTCTCATCTGTTTTGTTTGATCTCATCTGTAGACATTTATTATAACTGGGGATGTCAAACAACAAATTTTTAAATGTAATTAAACATAGGCTGTGAATTAATCAAAATTGATCACTATTTCCAAAAATGACTGAAAAAATAAGTTGTCACACACTCCATGGAAACTTTCAGAGAATCCACAAATAGTGGCTTTCAAATGGTTTTGTTACTTTCTGCAAGTTTAGAAAAGAAGCAGATGAGACAGCGTGTCTGATAATTTAGTTTTTCATCTGATAATATTAGAACATGTCAGTAATGTCTGAGGGGCTTTTATAAACACTGTATAACTAACACTGCTGGAGAGGGTATGAATTACACAGAGGCTTCTGGGGAGCCCAGTTATGGGGGGGGGGGGGGGCATTTTGCCTTGGCCCCCAAAATGTCTTGAAACGGCCCTGGGTGTGTGACTGAGTGTTGAAGGTGACCTGAATAGTATCAAATTTATAAATATTACATGTGTGTAACTTATTGTTTTATAGGTAAAAACGTGTAGTGGAGATAAATCTATCTACATTTTACTTTTCAACACTTTGTTTTGTTTTGTTGTTTTTATTTAACTATTTTCCTGTCCTGTCTGTCTCTTCATCTTCCTGCATCTCCTCTTAATTCTCCAGAAGAACTGCTGCCTGGATTCTTACTTTTTCACCTCATCAGTTACTTCTGTGCAGATCAAAGGGATCTCTTGACCGCAAAGCGCAGAGCGCGTTTTCGATGCTGCTTGAGGTGAAATCACCGCAGCACAGGTGATGAGCTCCGCAGTAGCAGAGCGCTGCAGGCACAAATAAGACAGAAAATAGAGAACATGTGCAGACATGAACGATCGTGTGCTAATTATAGTTTTTTGGTTGCGCCACTTTGAGAATGGACCGTGCGCTGGAAGCAGCTGCCTGGATCGCTGCACAACAATGCGCTGTGCCGCTCTCTGCTCAAAAGAGTCCAAAAATGATATACCGTAATATAGAAAACTTTTTTCCGGCTCCCCTGGATGTGTAGGATATACAGCTCCCCCATAATTCGATCCCTGCTCCTGGATGAAAAGCCGGACATTTTCATCAATACAAGAACCCGCAGTCCGGACGCGCCGGACAGAGAGTGAAAAGTGGACATGTCCGGGGAAAACGGAACGTACGGTCACCATAGTCCTCATAAAGCGGGAAATTATAGATACAGTATTGTGCTCCTGCCCTGGGCCCTTTAGAGTTCGTGGGCCCTGGGCAATTGCCCAGTTAATCCGGCCTTGGGCGGAACCGGTTCGCAGCAGCGCGAGTCCCCCAGCTCATCTAATAAGCGTCGCGCTCACGACTTTAGACTCTTTTTTTACGAGCTTAGGGCATGTCTAGCCTGTGTAATAATCCGGGACTTGGATGAATCACTTTTGAAAAGTTTTTAATTTACCCGGACACAGAGTTCTCTCCTTCCTCGCTGATGATCCCGACATGCTTGCGTTTAAGACGCTGCATCATCCCGTGCCATGCTAGTCTGACCTAAACGTTGCAGGTAACGCATGTCTTCACCTGATTTAACTGAAAATGCTCCCAAACTTAAAAAGCTTTTACTTTTTTGACTCTCGCTGCTTCTGCCATGTTCCTCTTCCAAACAACTGCCGGCTCTCCCTCGCGCTGATCTGCCAGCTCCCCCTCGCGCTGATCTGTCTGCGCGCAACGGCGGACGGGAAGGGGGGGCGCTTTTGGAAGAGTTGTGCGACACAACGAATCGATGACGCAATTCGTTGCCAACGCTTTTAGTAATCGATTTTCATCGAATTTATCGATTCGTTGTTGCAGCCCTACTGCCTACGACTTTGAACGTCAGTTGAGAGTGCGCCCGGTTGAGAGTCAGTCTCATGCAGACTGACCAATGAAGAGAGGGCCTCAAGTTAAGACCTTCTACTCATTGGTCAGTCCACACGAGGTGGGTCAAAGGTTACGCCGAATGGGTTACTTGACATCAGGTGTTGCCACAACAGAAAAAAAATCATCAGACATGGAGAAGCTAAGTGGCGGCTCAAAACGGAAATAAAAAAAAAGAAAAGGACAACAGAAACTCAGAAAATTTAAAGTGTATACCTAAAATAGGTAATTTCTTTACTCCTGTTAAGTCAGCTTCCGTCAACGACGAGGATTCAGCTAGCCAGGGCTTTTCTACACTGCCATCACCAGATTACATTTACAGCCCAGAGAGCAAAGAGCCAGCAGCAACTTCAAGCAGCAAACCAGAGGCAGCAAGTCTGATCGCTGAGGAAAGCGGTGATGGCGGGTCTCCAGTTTCGCTGCCACCGGAGCCGCTTGTCGAGTCTGGGAGCAGCCCCTGCATCTCAACGCCTCTACTCCCTGGGGATCCTGCACTGTAGGGGACCATTACGGAGCAGCTCAGGGAAGAAGCCATTTACCGAGGACCTGCAGCTTTCCAAAACCGGGCTGCCAAGTATCCTGCATCGGTAAGGGAGTCTGGACTTGGAAGTAGAGCATGCTCCCTCACCAACGATTTGCTTCACTGCCGGCTTCCAAACAATCAAATTATGCCAAGAGAATGGCTTCTTTACTCGCCATCAACTGGATCAGTTTATTGTTATGCCTGCAAACTTCTGTCATCCCAAAAGCATGCATTTATCAGCGGATTCTGTGATTGGAAACATCCAGAGAGGGTTAGTGATGTAGCGTCATGAAGGAACTATTTTCTGACCTAAAGGTCCCCTCTCCTCAGGAAGAACTAATCTCCTTCAGATATGCTCAAGGCCTTTTGATGCCTCTGCATCTAAACTGTTTTAACTAGCTATTTGCCCCCCTCCCCCCCTACAGCTCAAGAGAAGAAAGAAGATCAGAACTCTTCTTCTATTAAATAATGATCAAATACCTGTGTTAGTCCAAATAATCATGTAAAGCTCAATGTGAAATCAATCTTTGAAATGAGAATATTAATTACTTGATATTATACTCCTATGATAGTATTTTAATAAGTAATATAACTTTTAAACTACACACTAGACTGATCACACGCAATGTCATTCACATGACACATTCCTTTGTCTCCCCAATCAGAGCTTTCCTTTCTGACGCGTGGCGTAATCTGTGAGGTGTTTATATTTGTTGTCAAATTCTGATTCAACCATAAATCAAAACATCTGAATTATAAAACTAACTCCCACGTCATCCTTAACTCAGTTCAATGTTCTAGAGTTGCGGGCCGGCCACTCGTAACTTTTTAACCACAAAGAACCTAACGACAAGCTGGAAAATAAGCCTGTTGCAAGCTCCACCTGACACAACGCTCCTTCAGAGTAA